TAGACTCTGGATACTATTAACTACTATTAGCATAATTATCCCCTGAAATTTATCCAAACACACGTACATTTAACCAGAAGTTTTCCGATTTTAGGGGCAATAGGGAGGTCTCCTTAAAGAAGAGGGTGAGTAGTTAAGTAGCACCGGTAGGGAAAAGTAGTTGTACGCAAACAAAAAGCTCCGGCCAAGCTGGTGGTGACGGGGGACTCCACCCTTGACTACACCCTTTTGCTTTATGGCGAAGAAGATGTGGAAGTAGCACAGCGAGAGGAAGGTGTGGGGAAGTAAAAGCCGACGTCACTGGTGTAGTAGACAGAGACTCATGCACACAAAGAAACCGAAGGCCAAGTTTCCCACAAAGTACCAAAATTTTGTCCGTCCCTACATGACTATTATGCGACGTGTGAGTGACACACACACACACACACACACACACACACACACACACAACGGTGGTGGTGACTGGGCCTCACACCACACCACACACACACACAACACACACACACACACACCAACACACACACACACACACACACACACACACACACCACACACAACACACACCACACACACACACACACACACACAGCAAAAACAACACACACCACAAGGACATAAAAGGTGCGTGAAAATATCATTTATTGAAATTCAACATTGTGTAAAAAAATATAATTATATAGACGTAAACCAAACCTCTATGTAGCTTTAGTGGTGAAAGTATGATTTTGTTATTAACTCTCTTGTCACCGGTCAAACCCTCGTAAATAAACCAATTTTCAATTTTGCTAAAGTAGTTTTAATGAAATAAGTTTGAAATCTTATAACAAACTCCCTACAATTTCTCGTGTGAAGGTCCAATTTCCTGTGGACACTTATTTAACACATCCTTGTAACTACATATGTGATCTAAAAGTTTTTTTATATGTATTTATATGTGATGTACTGTAGACCTCAGCAAAACATTCTGTAAAAAAGAAGGCGTAGGTTTTTCGGAGGGTGCACTGGAGGGCGCACACTGCATTGTTTCCCTTTGTTCCCCCTCTCGCCGGCCACATTGAATAATTATTTTGTACTAGGGTTACGATCAAAGCCTGTGTCTTCTGTGTCTTCTTCAACTTGTACTTATAAGTCCTCTCTCTCTCTCTCGTCGCTTCCCCCCTCGTAACTTCCAGGGCAGAGAAACAGACGGTGTTTTGCTTGGTCCTGCTTTCGATCGATCGAAAGAAAAGTGACAATCCCTTTTATCACCTAAGCTACAGGACTGTCCGACCCATAAACACTTGGACGGTTTTGTGTTATGACGTGGTACTAATGTTTACACACTTTATGTTACATTTTGCTGGCTTTTAATGGTCGGAGTAATGTTGTGTTGGCGAGTTGAGTCTGCATTGATGATTGATATGGGCGCCAGTCTCTTCCGCCTCTACCAAATGGGAAAACATATACATTATACCTGCGGCGGCAAACTGCATACTGAATTTTTTTTCGCAAAATTCTCGTCGAGTTTTTAACGAGGAAAGGGAGACCTTAAGGACGGAAACAGAGCATTTTGTATAGTTTAAGGATGTAAGTGAAAAAATTAACATTAAAAGTTCGTTCAAATCCGTATTTACATCTTTTTATTGTTGGACGTTCAACGAGAAATTTATAAAAAATTTCCAGGTACAGTACGAGAAGACCAATAAATGGGTAGGGGAATCACACACCCCAAAGCAACACAGAGCGACAGAGCGTCTTGCCTGTGACCAGTACCCACCCCCGCCGTCCCTCGAGTTTGTTCGGTAAATCCTGTCTCTCACTTATGTGTTATTATATGTCTCTACGACTTACTCCTTTGTTACAGTAAAAACCTTTTACGGTGTTATATTTACAATAAGATCAGATGAAGTTGTTACCTATATACTAGTCATCTTACCGGTACTGTACCCTGGAAATTCCCCACTACGGGTGTGGAATTTTTGGAACTCTTTGAAGTTTCTAAATATAAATAAAAGTAAAATTACAACACACGACAAAATTATAAAATTAACTTGAAAAATATAAAATAACATAAATGAAAAAAGGGGTGATCCATTTCGCAGAACTCGTGGACTTTTTCGTGAATCTTTAGTCAAAATAATAATAATAAAATGTTAATAAACTTAGAGAGCATTAAGGAGGAGAGAAGGTCCTCCGAGATGTGTCAAACTCAAGGCTCGGGGGCCAAATCAGGCCCTTGGTGGATTTGATTTCGGCCCGCAGGATAATTTCTAATTACTATTGGATCTGGCCCTCCATCCTGAGGGTCCCCTCAGCTCAGAGCCTGAGCCCAAACATTGATGAACTTGCACCCAAGATGAGATGCCAAGTATCTGGCTTGAACTAGCATCACAGAGCAGCAACCTGAGTTTAATGGATGTTTCCTTCTGCACTTTTTCTCTCACGACAACAGGGCATGTTTGGTTTTCTCTTTGGAGGGGAATAGTTTTTTTGAAGCTGTTGTTGGCCTGTGGGAAAATGTAATCAGAAGATTACATTTGTAGATAGAGCCATAAGAAATGACTGAAACTGATTATTTAATGTTGTTTTAATAGGCAATAATTTAAGCTTTGTTAGTTCCAGGTTTAATATGTGCAATAAGTTCATTTCAATACGTTCTGCAATAAACATTGAACCAGTCCGGCCCTCGACTAGTACCCATTTTTTTTATTTTGGCCCACTGTGTATTTGAGTTTGACACCCCTGGTTTAAAGGATGGTCTTGATTTATAAATTACATGAGATGTTTTGTTTGTTTATGTGGATATAATGTGTGTTTGTGCCCGGGAAGAATAGCCAGTGTTCATGCTATTGCTAAAGGGGATCCTAATAAAGACATAAAAAGGGCCATCTTTTACAAACACATGCCATTTTAAAAAAAAGCGACAACTCACTCCTAAATCAAACAAACATTATTTCTTACCTGTAGCGCTATTTATTATTATAATTATTGGATATCTGGATTGTTTTGGGTTGAGCTGCTGAGTCTTGTATCAGGTCAGGTCAGGTATTGGTATATAGATATAGACTTCTGTCCAATATAATGGAACTATATGGTTTGTGGTGCTCAAAAATAATTGCATTTAAAGCTCGAAAACGAAAAATGATGACAAGTTTACTTCAAATTATCCAGTTTCATTTAGGAGCTTATTTGAACGTTATGTACTTTGATTGTACCTATTGTCAGTCGCTTTGGATAAAAGAAGCAACTAGATGAAATGTAATGATTTCCACCATAAAGTGCTTTTGAAATGAACGTGTAATGGCATCAGTGATGAGATTAAGCCTAAGAGAATAAAAAGTCAAACTAAATATCCAAAGCTGTTTCTTAAAGATAGCCAGGTAGGTAAAGATGCAAGACTTATGTCAGAGCGTCTGTATTACAAATATCTGGAGCAGCAGCAGTGCAGTTGTGTAATGTGAACGTCTTACATCATCGCTGCCTAAACTTTGGTCCTGAGTAGGAAGTAATAAGGTGCACAGAGCCAGCTTTAGACACAGAGGTCAATATATTGAGGTAATCCATATTTGAAGGAAAGGTAGTGTTGGCAGGACTTCAAACTGAGAGTGCATATAAGTGATTGACTGAACCCTGGTGAAAAAAGGAAACACTGAGGGACAGAAAATCCTCCGGTCCAAGTTACAGACACATTGATTTCACAAAAAATGCCCTAAAGCTGCCAATGAGACATACGTTACACAGGGTAAATACGTCTTTAATGCGTCAAAGGAATCCTCATCGTTTCAAATAAAATGGCAACAGAAAAACTGATTTCTGTAAAACAGAAGAACTATAGCCGCTTTCACACCAAGTACTTTGCCGTACTTAGTTCCCAGCACTTAGTACCCCCATGGAACTAAAGAGCAGATCGCGTTCACACCGGAATATGTCCCTGAGGGAGGATTAGGCAAATGAAGCCGCTGACGTCACTTCTTCTTCTTCTGCTTTGGGTTTACTGGCAGGCCGCAAACAACTTCACGGCGTACATTGCCACTCGAAGTCCCCGGAGCTGGGGACTAGCTTCCGAGTAAATCGCCAGAACGCTGACACCTCCTCATCTCCACCGCTCCCATGTTTTCTTTTGTGTTGCCATAAGTTATTCTCTCTCTGTTGGTGCGCTGGGCTAATGCTAATGCTAATGCCAGCAAATACAATGGCGGCTTCAAAAAACTTTTCCGACTTTTACGGGGCGTGGTTTGCAATTCGACCAGCCAATAGAAATTGGTACTTTTTTCTCCACAGGAAAGTACCTGCTCTCTAGAAGGCACTAAAAAGGGAGTAAAAGTTGAACTAAGTTCTCTTTTTGGTGTGAACTCAAAATCCCAGGGAACTATCGGAACTAAAAGGGAAAAGTACTCGGGTGTGAAAGCGCCTAATGCCTTCATTCTCTACTGTGAGTTATGCTCTGAATATAAATAAACTGTGTGAAAGCTGTGACAAAAATAGTGTTTCATTGAAGTTTGACACACTTTATAGCCACTGAGCAGAGAGTAGTTTATAAAGAAATTAGCTGAGATTAAGCAGTTTGAGTTTAGGTATCACAATGTGCAAATGATGCTCTAAACCTGGGTCATAAACCGGCAGGAAAAACACCTTGCGGGGAAAAGAGACACTAAAAAGGCTTATTTTTTATGATACTGGACGTAAAACACAAAATAAGGGCTGGTTCTTACATTACTGTCAATCTGCAGATTATTTTCTAGAAGGTTTGATACATTTTTTGTCTTTTAAAAAGGTCAGAAAATACTTAAAAAAAATATACAGGTCAAAAGTGATGTCTTTAAATGTCTTGTTTTGTCAGTTTCACTCACTTAAAAATATGACATAAAACAGAGAGAAGCCGTTTTCTGAGGGCCTGAAAACTGTATTTTCAGCATACTTTCATGAAAAAACACTTAGAACTCAAAATAGTGGGCGATACTTGGCTGCAGATTGATTTTTTGATGCAGCTCTAGTCAGAAGCACTTAAGACAACAATGTTTCTATGACTGGAGTTGGCTCTTACCGATCTGTTTTTCGATGTCTGCCGCCTCATCGGGCGTCGCTCGGGGCAAGATGCCGGGGTCTGTGAAGCTCGTCTGGAGCAACGTGATGACCACAAACACAAAGAGGAAGCCTCCAATCACAGGGATGCAGCTGGTCAGGTGTTTGACCAGGAAGGGACAGCTGTGAGGAGAGGAAGAGAGGGGATGGATTACTAAGACATGACGAACAAAGGGAAAGGATATAAAGAAATCCAAGTCTCATATAACTGAGGCTGCTGTAGAAAGGCGAAGTCCCTCCCTTTCCGGGGGACCTCCATTGGACCTTATTTTGGAAAAATCATGTATTGAAGTCAATGGAGAGAGAAAGGTTATCTTTCGATCCTGTTTGAATTGTGCCACGACTTACAAATATGATGTTTGTCAATTTAAAAGATTATTTTGCAAGTCAAAAAAAAAAAAATTGTCGTAAAACTGTGAAGGAACACATT